GGTTTACACCTCAGAAGGAGATGGGACCAGAGGGGACAGAGGTCTGGACAGAGGAGGGAGGTCAGAGTTAAGCTCATCCAGGAGATAAGAGGCTTGGACCAACCTCAGCAAGAATCCCCTCCCTTCCAGAGCTGAGGGGGCACAGGGAGGCCCTCAGACCCTCAGACCCTCAGACCCAGTGGTGTTGGGACCTGGCATGGAGCAGCTCCGTGTCCATGGCCCAGGAGGGGCAGAGACTGTCAGTACTGGCCTGAGCATGCCAGAGAAGGGGCTGGAAGGAGAGGATCGCTGAGGGGCCCGGAACTGGGCACTGTGGTGGTCAGAAAGTGGAGATGTGTTCCCCTCGCCCTGGAGCTGTCCCGAGTGGAGGCTGCGAAGGGCTGTGGGAGGAGGGAGGAGGGCAGGGAGGGGGACTGCCCAGCTGGAAGAGGCCTTGTCTAATTGTGCCTGATTAGTAGAGAGGAAGAGAACAGGGCGAGTGATTAATAGTCACGGCAGTCACCAGCGTGTGGGGAAGGAGGGTCAGGAGGGGGAGGGAAGCCCAGGAGCCAAGAGGGGCTGGAGACAGGGAAGCGCCCCTGGGGCTGGGGTCTCCTGCCTCTGGGGGCTGTCTAGACCCAGGGGGCCCCCCAGAGAGGGGCTGAGTCCTACCCCTCCCTCCTTAACAGTTCTCTCCTGCCCCCAGACCTCCCTTTTACAGACAGTGGAATAGAAGGGAAAAGATCAAGGTCCTGCCTGCACCTGGGAAGAAAAAGGATGCGATTGCATTCGGGGTGCTTCTAGACACCCCAGTACTCCCTACCCCTAGACATAGGCCCCATCTTCAGCCCAATCAGGGACCTCAGCCGGCCCAGAGGGTAATCAGCCTGACTTCCCGTCACAGCCGACCAACTGACCGTAAGTCCCTGGTCCCAGCTGTTAATTGCAGCTGTGTCCCAGCCAAGCAGCATGAAGCTCATTCCTAAGGTTGAGAGCTGCTCTGTCCACGACAGCCGGCCCTTGCTCCACATGCCTAATCACATGGCAAATGCTCCACAGCCGCGTGTGGCTAGTGACTACCATGTTGGACAGCGCGGGAACGGGACATTTTTGTCATCCCAGCATCTTCCTTTGGCTAGCACTGACCGAGAGAGTATGCGGAGCGTGTGCACACTCGCACATATACACACACCCATGCCTGTTTGGGAGGTTGAGTAGGACACATCAGCATGGAGGAGGGTGTGAATGTGGGGGTAACAAGGCAGGAAGACTAGGTGATAGAGAGCAGGACGATGCCAAAGGAAGGGCCAGAAACTGGTAGGCGGTGTTGGGAACAGGCAGGTTAAAGACAGCCAGGAGCTGGGGTGGCAGCACTTGTAGCAGCTGACTCTTACAGAATGCATACTATGCGCATACCAGGCAGTGTGCTAAGCTCTTTATGGGCACCTCTTCAACCCTTACAACAACCCCAAATGTCTAAGTTCTGATATCCTATTTAATGACTGCAGACACTGTTGCTCAGAAGCATTTTGGCTTCCCTAAGGCCACATGGCTGAAAAGGTAGAGCCAAGGTTCAAATCCACGCAGTCAGGTGGCTCCAGAACTCATACCCTTGACCCCTCCAGTGTATAATCCTCCGCTGAGAGGAGATGCTGAATTACATGGTTCAGCTAAAGAAATAAAGGCTAGGGAGAGAGAGTGATTTCCACCTGCTAGTAAGTGGGCAGGCTGTGAGTGAGCTGCAGCGGGAAAGTAGAGCTGGGGCCCGGAGCACAGGGTGGGAGGAACCAGGGAGGAATGGAGAGCCTTTGGCAAGGCAGCAGGGAAGGGGACATGTAGGTGATGGTGAAAGTAGGAGGTATGGGTGGGTGTGGGTTGGTATAAGACTGAGCTGGACAAGGACCAGGAGAAGAACTGGAGGGCTGGCTGGAGGAGAGCAGGGCGGAGGGGGAGAGCATGCCCACCCCCAGCCCCCTCCTCTCTCTCTCCCTCTTCCGGCTCCTCCTTGCCAAGCCATGGCCAGCTTGCCTTATCCCTTAAGCCTCCCCAGCCCTCTTCAGCCCAGAGTGGCCGCTCTCTCTCTGAACTCAGGCTCTTACCATCCGTGAACCTCATCTGGCAATTAATCCTGGCACCTTATGACACTGCTTGCATGGCTGATTAACTCTTGCATGGTTGCTTAAGATTTTAAGCATCCCAGTCCCTACTCTTCCATGAGACTGGAAGCTGCTTGAGGACAGGGACTGGAGACTAGGGCTTCCCTTCTTTGTTGTCCCCCATAGTTCCTAGCTGGGAGCCCAGTACATAGAAGGTGCACGGCACTGGGTGTCTACTGACTGACTGACTTACCGGGAGTAGATGAGGGGATATTTGGGAGAGTGGAGGTGAGAGTGACTGCAGTGTAACAGAAACAAGAGTGGCAGCCTAGGGGACTGGGGGAGGGCACATTACCCGGAGTAAAAATAGGCTGGAAAATGTGACATTTATTAACTTGGATTCCAGAGGAAAGGTCACAGCAGAGTGGGGAGTGGGAAGGAAGAAACGGGAAAAGCAACAGAAAACACACAACAGCCCCTCACTGAAGCCAGTCACCGTCACTGACCGCTTCACCACCCACACCCTGACAGGGCCCCCACCAACTCGCTCGTTTCCCTGTGTCCCCATCACAGACCCCCAAGTCCCCATGAAGACCACATGTCCTTCCCTCAGAGCAGATGGAGGACCCCATGCCCTTGTCAGAGCCCTCATGTCCTCATATCCCTTTTGCTGTCTTGCCTGGATAACGCCCCCTTCTTCCATGGATCATGCGCCCCGTTCTAACTCCTAATTCCAGACCCTGGGGCTTTGCAGCAGACAGCCCGAGAATGCCCGGTCCAGGCAGTTACACTCAGCAGATGGTGGCTGGGGTGTGGGTAGAAGGATGTGAGTCCAGGCTGGGCTTGGCTTTGGGGAGCAGGAACACCAAAGGGAAATTCTGTCTCCTGTGCTTACTTCGCCCCTTTTCCCCTCGCTATCTGGCTGCAGCCCCAGAACTGAGATCCACAAACTTCCATCTTCCCCTCTCCAGCCCCAAGGTACCCAAGAGCCTGTGGGAAAGCCTTCCTCTCTCCTCCCAGCCCTCCCAGGATTCCCAGGGACTCCCTACTCCGGTAGCCTCCAAGCGTCTCCTTCCTTCTGAGAGCAGGCTCAGTAGGAACCTCAGTGTCCCTCTTTTTGCTTCCTTAGAACCCCCACCCTAATCTCGTCTTCCCCTTCCTCCCACCGATGCTGACACTGACGTGTCATTACTCTTCCCCTTTCCTGCGCACTCCAACCAGGGCTTGGGGACACAAAGACCCCATTGATTTCTACCCCAACAGCAACTGCTGAGCCTGGGCTCCCCCCAACATGGAGGGGTGAGGCTGTAGGACAGAGGAGACCCAGGACCCTAAAGGCCACACTCACATTCCACACCCCACCTCCTCCCTGAGGAATCTCTCAGCCTTCGCCTTGGGAGCAGTGATTTTTCCTAGAAGACAGGGTGTTTAACCAGGCAACAGGCCCATGCCCCGTGACTGCTATCAGCACAATCCTCTCCTTCCTGTCGCTCTGTCTCTACCTAACTCCCCCCACTCTAAAGCGAGAGGCTCCAGACACTGCAGGCACGGTGGAGGCCAGAACCTGGTGGGAGCGTGTTTTCCTGGTGACACTGAGGCAGTGAGTGAGGGAAAGCCTAGGCGTGGGGGCTGGGCCACGAGGAGGGAAAGTCCCCACCACTGCAGGAGGTTGGGCCCGAGTGGGCACCATGTTGATGCCACACATTTGCACATGCAGCCAGCAATGACAAGGAAGGCAACACAGGCGCATATACACAACACTGAGAGTCAACCGTGGACTGGGGACAGGCATCCTGAGCACCGTGAATAACAGATAGCCGTGGACTGTGGGTGAATGGATCCCTGACAGACAGACAGTGAACAAGACACGCCCCCCACACTCACACACCTGACTGTGGGAGGTGTGCAGGGCAGAGCAGCCTGAGCTGACACTCCATTCCCAGGGAGGGTTCGTGTGTTTGTGTTCACACATACGTGAGTGACTGCTCCAGCAGTCCCCGCATGGAGAACGAGGAGCAGCAGTTGGCATAGGTGGGGGGCGTGTCATGAGGCAGGATGGCATCCACTGTGTGGCCCCATCCTTGGTGGCTAAGAGCTGGGATATGGGCACGGAGAGGAGTAGCTCTCCCAGTGCCTGGGCGTGTGGGTGTGCAGGAGTGCACGTGAGTGTAGTGACAGGGACACTGTGTGTGTGAGAGGGAGTGTGTGGGAAACTGTGTCCCCGAGCAGGAGTGTGTGCCAGCACCAAGGGTGAGCTATGCACACAGAGTGAATCCCAGAGTGAGTGCCAGAGCCGGGCAGGGGAGCAGCAAGAACAGGGGACAGAGGGGGGCACTGGCAAGCGGGAGAGGCCGGAGGGGAGCATGAAAGAGGGATGTGTGAGGGCGGCTGTGAGGGGGGTGTGAGAGACACAGACAGAGAGACACTGGTACCCAGTGTCCATGAAGCCTGCTGCTGGGCCAGCTCCTCAGAAGGCAGCCCTGAATCTCTCCCTAGCCAGAGCCCCTCGAATACCCCTCCTGTCACCTTCATTTGGTGGAAAGAAGAATCCAGTAGCTCCAGAAGAAAAGGGAATCAAGAGCAAAGTAGGGCTCGGCTACTCTGGCCTTGGGATGGTACATCCCTTCCCTGCCAGCTGAGCAGCTTCAAGACCCCTGGGCTCACCCCTGGGTGCCCCTGGCCCTAGCCTTGAGCACCACGGCAGCCGCAGGACCGAGAAGAGGAGCAACAGCCCTGGGTAAGCCCCTAGGAGCGTCCACTGCTCCAGGGCTGGGAAGCCAGAGAGAAGCACCAGCTGGGGAAGACACGAGGCCCGCCTCTGGTGGCAGAAGGGAGGGAAGCCCTGTTGGGGATACCCTCATGTACCACCCACACACACCAGCCTCTGGCCACCCCAGGCCAGGTGGTTCAGCTGGCAGAACTCACCACAGAGAAGTTGCTGGCGGAGCAGTGGTGCCCACTGAAGTTGCAGCTCTTGAGCATGTCAGCGAGCTGGTGGCCGGTGCGGTTGAGGATATCTACCATGTCGGGCTCCGGGTAGCGCAGGCCAGCTGCACGGTGCCCATCCCGGTCTTTGGGGGGCAGCCCTGTCAGATTGGCCAGGTGGAAGATGTCAGCATCGCTGAGCGCCGAATGCCGGAAGCGGTTGATATTGCAGAGGGTGACGGCTGGGAAGCCCGCCACTGGGGCTGGGGCAGCGGGGTCCATTGCCACCAGGTGAGGCCGGGTCAGGTAGCCCCGGGCCAGGCCGACTGCCTGGTACAGGAAGGCAACCAGCGAGGTGAGTAGGGCCAGCGCCCACAGGGTTCTGCGCAGTCCATGGGGGCCTGGGCCACAGGCCCGGCCCAGCCCGTGTAGAGTGCTGGTGCTGGCAAAGGTAGCCAGGTCCCGGGGGGCTGCTGCCCCCTGAGCAGCCCCGAGGAGGCTCTGCTCATCCCCTGCCTCCTTCTCCTTGGGTTTCGCATCCTCCTCAGCAAATTTGATTTTGCACACAATCTCGATCGGCATCTGTCCCCGGCTGCTGGGACTGGCCAGAGCCTCCCTGCCCCTGTCCCTCCCTGGCCGGCAGCCCTGGTGCCCTCCGGAGTGGCGGTGGTGGCAGCGGCTGCTCTTCTAAACTCAGGGCAAGCGGGAGGAAGACGGGGACAGGGTGGGGGCCTGAGGTGGGGGCGTCACTCCCACTCCCAGCAGCTCCGAAGCCCTGGTGCTGCCTCTGCCGCTGCTGCCTCTGCTGCCGCTTGTCTCTCTCCTCGATCGTCTCCTTGTGGCTTCCCTTATCAGCACCAGCACAGCTGTCAGCCCCTGCGTGTGTCCCTGCGAGCGAGTGAGCGAGGGAGCGAGCGCTGCTCCGCCACGCCGCGCAGCCCCAGCCGCTCCGCTCAGCATGTGCTCCGGAGCCCACCCCATGCTTAATAATTCAGGACATGTCAACAGCGTTTCACCGGCGGCACGGGCGGCAGGAGCCAGGCCAGGAGAGGGGAAAACCCCCTGGCTCAGGGCAGGGATCCCAGTATTGGAACTGCCCCCCAAACTCTCGCTACACCCTAGCCACTGGGGGGGCAGATGGCCCACTCCCAGGACACCAGGGAAGAGTGCTGCACCCAGAGTATTCAGCCTCCTCTTTGCTACTCTTCTGGACCACACCCATAAGGGTCAAGCAACTCTGTCCCCCACCTCCTAGCCTCCCTGACACCTGACTCCAGTGCCGCCGGATCCCACTACCCCACTTACCACAAGCAGCTTCCAGAAACTCCTTGAGAGCCACTTGTTTGAATGAAGGAAGGGAAGGGGGAAGAGGGCAGGCAAGACAGATTAGGGCACAGCCGCAGCCACGACCCCAGCAAGATTCTAGGCTTCTCTAGAGCTTCGCTGCCAACTTCAGTGCCCACCATGCCCCTGCCCCCTCCGGAAGCTTCCTCTCTCTCCCTCACTTCGCCCTTAGCCTCTCTCAGCCGCTCCTGCCACTGGGACAGAGGGCGCTGTGGCTGACTTGCATGTCCGATGCCACTTTGCTTCGCCAAATGTTCCCCAAGGCCCCTGCCACAACCAGACTTGGGAGCAGGGGCAGGCCAGGGAGAGAACGGGAGGTCTCAAAAGTAGGGGAGAGGGAGTGGAAAGCGGGGGAGAGTCCAGATAGAGGTATGGAGGGAGCAGGAAGAAGTGCTGGCTTCACCGGGAGGGGACGCTGTGCCAAGGACATGGATGATGATGACGGTGATGGTGATACGAGGTGCCCTGTCACCTGGGAGAGAGGCGCCTGGCAGCCCTGGGGGCTCCTGTCTCCTTGTGGAGGGGCAGGCGGCCTGTGGCCTGTTGTCACTGACAGGGGTGGAGAGCCTTTCGACTGGGCAGAGGAGATGCATCGGTGCCCCCAGGGCAGGGGTGGCAGGAAGGAGGCACTGTGCTCTGTGGGGCCGGTATGTGCGTGTGAGCCCTTGTGGGGAAGGAAGCACTTGTCCCCTGGAGGAAAGGGGGGGCTGATTAATCGGGGCGCTAATGAGCAGCAGGGAGAGGAAGCTCTGAGGGGCGGGGGAGGCGGCTCCATCGATCCAAGCCTCGGAACCAGCAGCTGAAAAAAAAAGTGAGAAGAGAATCGATCTGAGGGAAACGGCAGCTGCTGGGGATTAGAGCCCGAGGTCCACCCGCTGCCCAGCGGCCACCCCTCCCCTGCGTCAGCCTGGCCCCGCAGTCTCTGCCGGCCCCAAGGGAGGGGCCGAGGATGCTCCCTTGGGGGCAGGGCACTGCTCTGCCCCAGCTGGCTGCAAAGCCAGGTCAAGCCTCCTCAGGGCCACCCCAGCATGGAGCTTGTGCACACACCCAGTCCTGGCCGGGTATGGCACCTTGCCAAAGTTCTCCTGCGCCTTTCAGCAAAGTGGCTTCCCTCGGGGACCCACAGCTGGGCTTCCCCACATAAGCTTCTTGGGAGCAGCATCCCAAACTGGGAAGATAAGACCCTTGGATGAGGTGTCACCTCTGCCTGGGACGCAGCACCCCAGAGGGGAGAGTGGGGTTGCCCCTGGAAGCAGCTGCTGAGTTCCTACTCAAATGCAAGTGTCCGAGGGACCGTAGACACCCCTTCTTGCAGCTCCTCAGGACCCCTCCACCGTAGGCTTCCAGACCTTTCCAGAGCTCCCCCTCTCCCTCCTCCTCATCCTTTTCTCTCTTCCCCTTTCTCCCAATATTGATTTTTCTTTACTGGGTTTTTTTTCTAAAAAGGTGATTTAATTGCTTTTTTAAGGTTACTTCAGTCTGGGGCTCTGCCAAGAAGGCGGGAGCTTATCCCCAAGCTCTCCCCAGCACTGCTGCTGCCCTGGCATTCATATGTGTCCCTGAATTCCCCTGCCCTCTGCTGGGAGTCGCAGGGTCACACTCCCCAGCCACATACTGACCTCTATCATGAGCCCAAGTCACAACTCTTCCCTCCAGAGGGATGGCAAGAAGCCTTCAACCTCTAAAAGGAATGAAGCTGGGTGGTAGCTGAATCCCAGGGGAACACAGGGTGAGGATGGGTGCTAGGAATTGGAGCGTGGTTAGTTATGCACAGACCCCCCCATCACTGCCCAACTGCCAGCTGTCTCTAATTGTCCCCAAGTGCCCACCATCCAGTCTCCCAGACTGCCAGGAATCTGGTTATGCTCACCGGGAACCCCCGAGTCCTTCCATCCCATCTCTTGGCTTTTACCACCCACTGCTCCCCGGCCTCTGCTGGCCCCCTTCCTGTCCCTCTACACCCTCTTTGCCTCCGGTCCCCTGCCCCTCTCCCCGCCTCTCCCTGCTTCCCTGCCTGCCTCCCTCTCTGCCCGGCTGCAGTTGGGTGATAATCTCCCTCATTTAGCCTCCCGGCTGCTTCCCCGGCTCATTGCCCAGCTGGTCCCTGGGGCCCAGCCCAGCTTCTTCACACCCCCACCCCAGCCCTGCGCCCAAGCTCCCGTCCCCGTCCCTTCCCCCACCCACTCCCTGGGGCCGCTCCCTCACAGGGGAGCACCAGGGCTCTAGCTGGCTGGCCAGGAGCTGAGCTGAGTGTCAGCCACAGGGCAAGGCTCCTAGGGACCTGGGGCTGGAGTGCGGGAGGGAGATTGCTGTTGGGTCAGGGTGAGAGGCCTCAGCCCGAGCGCCTCTGCCTTTCAGATGTTCCCATTCCCCGGATTTGCTCCCAGTCCCGTTCTCCAGCCATCTCCACTCCCCAGGGGATGAGCTAGGTGCCCTGGCATAGAGAAAGAGACCGGTAGATAGACTAGGAGGCAGAGGCTAGAACAGGCAGGGCTAGGAATGGGGGTGCGGGTGGAAGGGTAACAGAAGGGGAGGGTGCTTCTGGCTCAGGGTACCTGTGAGGAGGCATGGAGGTTCTAAGCAGGCGAAATGCCCCAAAGGGAGACCTAGAGATCGCCCAGCATTCATTCAACTTGAGCGAGGGAGGTCCAAGGAATCCCCTGTCACAGGGGACCCCTGCCCCTTCCTGCCATGTGGGCCCCAGACTCCCTGCTGGGCTGCCTCCATTAGTAAACCACATGGATGACCCCTCACACTCCTGGACAGCATTCTCCAGTGAGTCAGTCTCCAGCCTCAGCCTGCTCCCTGCGGACACGCCTGCCCCCTCCCAGCCCAGAAACCTGGCTCCGGTGTGGACCAGGGAAGAGCCAGTGTGGGACAGATGTGGGCGGGAGGGACGAGGATGGGGAGGCCAGGGCCGGGCCAGCCCTGGCTGGTGAGCAAGCAGCGGTGACAAACGGGCTGTGCGGGGGCCGAGGGGCGGGGGGCGGACGGCGGCTGATTTATCTGGGTTATTTATGCCGCGGACGAGGCAGGAGAAGCGGTTAACGAGAGTCCCAGCGAAGGGGGTGGGGAGTCTAGGACGTGATCTGAGGCGACTGAAGAGAGTTAGCGCCCCAACGCCAGGCCCTGCCCCCACCCTGACCTCCTGGGGCCAGCCCAGAGCTGCAACCTCTGCGACGTCCGGTACCACCGCCCCATCCCTGCTCCGGGCCACGGGCCATAGGACTGAAGTGGACTGGGTCCAAGATTTGGGGGCATCTCAGGAGGGCACCAGGAAAGGCCGGCAAGAAGGACAAATTCCTGGCGGGCCAGAAACCGACCAAGACTGCAGGGCCTGCGGGGAGGACTGGGCGGGAGAGGGCGACGTGGGAGTGGGTGGGCTGCCTACAGCCTCGAAGCCGAACTTGGAGAGAGGGCAAAGGGCACTGGGGCACAGATCTGGTGTCAGCCGGGAGCCATGGTGGGGAGCTGAGTGGCAGAGAGGCTGGGCAGGAGGGGGCGCTGGTCAGAGAGCAGAGAGAGCCGCGAAGGAGGGGGAGAAGATCCAGAGAAGGAGGGGGAGAGGGCTTTGCAGCAGCGAAAGCTGCTGGGAGCAGATAAGGCGGCACAGCAGCAGGAGGGATTAAAGCTCTGAGGGGCATAGGGGGTGGCGTGGGACGGGGTGGGGGGCAGGGAGGAGAGGGCTGAGGGCAAGACACCAGGGCCAAGGAGATGACTGGGAAAGCCAGGGCTGCAAGGAGGCAGGATTTAATCAGGGGCCAGGAGGTGGCCATTAATTGGGGAAGGAGGGAAAGGACCCTTGATCATCCGTCTGGGGAGGAAGACTTTTTGTGCCGTTGACGGAGCCCCCACACCCCGCACTTGTCAGGGCAGCGGAGCTAAGCGGAGGGATGGGCTGCTGCGGGTAGGGGAGTGCAGGATTAACGGAAGGGGGCGAGGCAGAGGCCGCCCTGAGAGCCTCTGCCGAAGGCAGAAGACTGAGGGCACATAGCGCCTCCTAGGGGTGACCAATGGAACACAGGAGGCCCACTGGTACGTCGAGGGTCCAGCCCACCGCCCTGGCATGGAGACCCCATCATACCCAGGCTATGGCAAGGAACACAGTTTCAGAGGGAGCTTCTTTGTGGGAGGGGTATAGGCTCGAAAGGGGGCAGGGTAGGCCCTGGATGTCCCTTCCCATCCCTCCTTTCCTAGCCTCCCAGAAGGGTGTGCTTTGGTGTGGGTGAGGCCCAGGGCCCTCCAGAGCGAGCCCAGGGCAGTTCAGAGGCGGCCTCGGTGGTGGAAGGGAGCTTTGGCAGGGAAGAGGAGGGGCTGGGGGAGGGGAGCGGGGGTGGCAGGAGGGGCTGGGTAATTGCATGTTTGCCAGTTCTCCGTCTCTGCGCACAAGGGAGCGTGTGCTGGTGGGTGTAGCTTCACTTTGAGGAGTGTGTCTGTTGGCAGAGGTGTCAATGTGTCTGTCTCAGGGGTCTGGGCCCTCCTTGGCCCCCACTCCCCTTGTGTTTTGGGGAGCATGACTCTGGGCACACCCAGCTGTGCTCCTTGCTGATGCGGCAGATGTGGCGGGGCCCCAGCTGTGCCTGCTTCCCAGAGAGGGGGGAGGCGGCTGCAATCTGCTCCCCCGATAATGGCTGCTAAGTGCCAGGGGGAGGGGATGAGGGGGAGGTGGGACTAGAGCCCTGGGCAACCCTGCCGCTGGGGCTAGGGCCCTACCCCACTCCACCCGTCCAGCGCCTCCCCCAGCCTGCGTTCTTGGCTGGGTCTCTCTACCCCTCCGCTGGCTCCTGAAGCCCATCCAAATTTCACTCAGTCCCTGTCCCCAGCTCTCCTCCCGTCGCCCCATCCAGCTTGGTGCCAGGGACCCACCCCCCCTCCCGGCCCCCAGCTCGCTTCCCCTCGATGATTTTACAGAATAATCTTTTTATGGAAACCGAAAAAAGCGCTAATGGTAGCAGCACACCCCTCCCCCGCACCCCCCACTCATCCCCCAGTTCCCTCTAGGTTCCCGTTTCTCAAAGCCTCCCCAGGGCCCGCACCCTCCACCCCTGCAGGGCCAATGAAAATTGGGTGCGGGGTACCAGAGGTGGTGGACAAGGAGTTCCTGCAGAGGAAGGGCAATGCCGAATCTCAGACCCTGTGTCTGATAAGCCATTAGACCCCTCCCAGTACAGCCAGGGCTGGAGAAGAGCGGGCGCATTTGTCTCTTCCTCAGGACCCCTCCATACCAGTGATTCCCTCAGCCTGGGGGGTGTATTAGAGGACCTCTACTAGCTGCCCCCCTTCAAACACTGACCCTTTCCCTTTCCAGTGCCTCTCCACACCGTGTCCCCACCCCCACTGGGTCTAGGAGGGGGGTCCCGGGGGCCAGGGCCTGACACAGACTTATTGGATTTCACGGTGTTTTGCTGAGAAAATAATTAAATTATCATATTTATGATGGAGCTGCCATGGCCTCTGCCAACCACTCGGAACAGAAGGGTCAGGATAGGGGGAGGAGAGAGAAGGGACCCAGAGCCTGGCCCTGTGGTCCAGCCCGCTCCCAGCCTCTTCCTTGGGGAGCTGACCCCAGACCCACAGTGGACCTCTGCAGTTCCCTACTGGTGGAGATGATAGATCTGCGCTGGAGGCGGGGACCAGGGAAAATAAGAAAAGGGCCAAGTAGAAGCAGGTTACAGGTCAGGACCGCGAAACCCTGGGCCATTTCCCATAGCGCTCATGGCCCACAGGGCCTGAGAGATCACATCCAGCCCAATGTCTGCTAGCCTCAGCCCAGCTCCCTTGCACGTTCCCAACTGCCTGCCTCTGAAACTAAGAAATCCTGGGCTCTGTCCCAGCCCCTGGTGCTGATAACAAGGCCCCAGCACCCAGTTGCCTGCTACCCCAGCCCGCTGCCAGGACCCCTCCTCCCTCCCACCCACACCCTGCCCCCCCATTCTCTTCGGGTAATTAGATTCCTCTCAATTAGCAGATTACGATCATTACCAGCTCATCTGGCAACTAAGCTCCGCACCCACAGCTGGGGAGAGGGGGGGCACAGAGAGGGGCACATGGGGGTCATGGGCAAACATGAGAGATGGTGGGGAGGAGGGCTGGGCCCTGCAAAGGGCAGTGCCAGGCGGATGGCCACTCCCAAAACACGGCACCTCCCACTCTGCTTCCAGAAAGAGCAGCAGGGCCTCAGGCCTGCCCTGCCTGCCAAGGGAGGCGGAAGCAGAGAGAAACGAAGCCCCAGATGGGGGGGCGCAACCCCCACCTCGGCAAAAGCTGAGAGCAGATGGAGCTGGCAAAGCGGAAAACAGGCCAGGGCTAGGGCTCGGCAGGAGCTGAGAGCAGGCTGCTGGGTGATCAGCCCCCATGCCTGTGGTTCCCAGCTCCTGTGCCCAGCTGAAATCCTTCCCCCTCCCCTCAGAATCCTGCACTCGAACACAAGCCGGCCATGTCCAGTGAGGAGAAACGGAGAGGTGGACTAGCAGGGGCGAAGGCTGGGGAGCCTGGAGGGCCTTCCTCGGAGTAGTGCAGGAGGCTCAGGCAGTGGGAGGGGTAGATTTACCAGGGCTCCAGATTCATTATTCATGAGCCTGAAGCAACGACTCCAATTTAAATGCTAATGTGGGGGGGGCCTGACTCAGCTGCCCCCCTTCCGCCCCCACCCCCAGCCCAGGCACAAGCGGAGTCCATGCTGGCTCCAAGGTTCACTGGGTTTATTCGGGAGTGGGGAGGGAGGCCAGGAGTCCTGGGCCACCCACATTGCTCCCAGCCCGTGAAGATCCTGCCTGGTTTCCCTGGGTCCTTTCCAAGGCTGGCCAAGCAGGCAGCAGCCTCAAGGGGAGTAGTCAGGAGTTGGGGGGCCTCCTGACAGCCCCCCTCAGAGGATGATCTGGTTGGTGAAGCTGCGGCTCAGCTCCTTGTGTGGCAGAACAATCGAGTTCAGGATGAGAACCTCAGCAGGGATCCGGACGCGGCAGCCTGCAGCAGTGAGGACCAGGGCACCAGGGAGAGGTCAGGGAGGACAGACAGGGGCATGGAGCTAGGGGCCCTGGCCATCTGGGAAGGATCCCTCCCTGCCCATCTGTGCCCCTGGCCTCATGCCCCCAGTGACTCACACAGGACCTGGCACACAGCAGGCACTTGGTAAATGTTTGCTAAAGGAACATGCACGCGCGCGCGCGCACACACACACACACACACACACACACACACACACAGCAACAAATGCTCCTGTGGACCTCCAGCTCTCATACCCAGGATAGTGATGGCTGGCAGCAGCTTCCCATCCTTGAAGAGGCTCTCACTGTCCATGCGGGCTCGGGGGTCGTTGGGGTTGGGGTCGTTGGGAGTCCCCTCCACGCGGGCCCAGCGCCCCACAGTACTCCCCCAGCCCACAATACTGTGCAGAACACATGTGTGCTCCTGCCAAACAAGACGGTGCCAAGTGAGTGGGATGGGAGACGGACCAGACCTTCTCTGCTCTGGCGGGGATGCCTGGGCTCTCTCGTCAGCCTCTCGGGTGCCACATGCCGCCACGTGCCTGATTCCTACCTGCAACGTGGCTCCATGGAGGACAATGCTCTCTCGGAGCCGCACGCCCTCGCCCACGGTCACTCCCTTTCCGATGGAGACATTAGGGCCTAGCTGTGGAGAGGAACACATACCATGAGCCCGGGAAAGGACCTGGGGACAGCCAAGTCCAATCCCCTCCCAGAACAGATAAGGCAGAAGTGAGCTGCTGGAGGTCACATAACAGACGTGACAAAGTAGAGAGACCAGCACCCTGTGCTCAGGCAGTCTCTATACCCCCACCCATACCCTAACTGCCACCCCTTGCCAGGAATGGGCCCACTGCTTACCACGGCTGATGGGGCCACTTTAGCTGTGGGGTGGATGTAAACGTTTCCTAGAAGCAAAAGAGAGGACCTGGGGGCAAATATCCCAGACCACATCTGGATGGGGAGGGGTCATGGCTCAGTGGGCAGAGGGGTGGGGTGGGGGAGAGGTTAACAATCGGAGCCTGCTGGTACCTCGAATCCGTGGACCCCCTGGTGTGTGCTTGGCCAGCCGTTCTGGGTGAGTGACCTGGTATCGGCCCAGATAGAGGCGGGAGGCATAGAGAGCTGAGCTGGGGGACCAAAACAGAGGGGCTCAGGGGCCAGCAGGGCCATACCCAACACCCAAAGTTGCAAGCCTTAGGCACCCCGGCCTCCCAATCGGAGTCACAGACATCCCGCCCCGACGTACCCTGCGGACTTGATCTGGCTCCAGATACCCTCTGTGATGTGCACATAAATTTGGCCCTTCCCAGCCAGCACTGAGAACACATCTTGCTCCAGGCGGATGGTCCCTGCCCCTGGCCACGAGCTTGGAGAGTCCTCCCTGGCAAAGGAAGGGTACTGTTGTCATTGGTTACCTGGGTGACCTCAAAAGTGGGACCAATGGGTCTCTACAGAAAGGAATCTGAGGGACTCCTACCACCTCTCCAGGCCCCTCTCCAGGTCTGGCTGGGTCCTCTCCAAAGGGTACTCACATCCAAGTGGCTTTCCCACTCACCTCAACCCCCCAAGATGCAGCTCTCACAGGGGAGCCTGGGCATGGAGCTGTTTCCCAACCCTACGCCGTGTCCAGAGGATGCTCCCAATTTTCACATCCTCCTCCCACCACCCTTCCCTCACTGGATGGAATGAAACACAGACAGACTCACCCCAGAGCAAGGCAGCTGGTGAGGTCAGAGACAATCACAGAGAGAGAGGGAGAGAGATGCCAGCTCAGCGGAAACAGAGACAGAGAGGCCAGGAGAGATAGAAAGAAGCAGAGACAACGATGAGATGAGAAATGGCCATGAGCAAATGAGGCACGAGATGGGAAGGTGAGCGAGGAGGAGGAGGAAAACAGAGAGTCCTGAAAGGGAACAGCTTTCAGGTCTAGGAGGGGTGACCTGGGATTGGGAAGCAGGGTTCTGGGGTGCTATGCTCCAAGGGGGGGCAGCCTGAGAATGTGCATGTGTGTGTGTGCGCACTCAAGCATGTGTGTGTATGTGTGTGCACTTGAGCATGTGTGCACCCAAGTGTATGTTACCGTCTGTTCTGAAAGATGTCTCTGGGACACTCAGGGCTTGAGAAAAACGGTCCAGAAGGGGAGTGGGCAGGCGGTGGCAGAGGAGGAACTGGGATGGATACGGAAGAGGGACAGAATGGGGTTAGAAGGGGAGGGACTGGCGGCTCCGCTGGAGCTGACAAGTGGGAAAGGCAGGAGGTAGGAAGAGGGTGAGCAGGTTGAAATGGAGCCTGCAGAGGCTGGTGTGTGGGGGCCTGGGCAGCGGGTGAGGGCCCGGGGCCTGCCTCACAGTTGCCTTTCCTGCTGATTACGCTGGAAGACATCCCGCAGAGGTGTCAGGGCTTCTGGAGAAAAAAGATAGATGCCACAGTTGATGATGTCACTGATGAACGTGCTGGGTTTCTCCACATAGTGCAAGACCTGCGGACAGCAAGGATGGGTTCCTCGTGGGGCTGACTGCACTCACCACTATCCCCTGAGACCCTCTCATCTCCAGGCTTGCTACCAGAGTGGACTCCCTAAAATGCAGTGTGCATCTGGCCCCTACCTGGCTTTACACCCTGGGCTGACTGCCCTTCACCTTCACCTTCAAGATAAAACTGAACTCCACGCCTTTCCCTGCTCCAACCTCCCCACCTCCTTGGGCTCCCAGAACACAGCTCCATGCCATTGCCTGCCTGTGCTTGGAACACCTTCCTGCCTCTTCCTCTGGAATACCCACTTCTGAAGCCCAGCTGATGTCATTCCACCCTCTGTGGGTCCTGTCGTGCTAGTTCCCGACTTAGCTATTCAGGCCTGGCACCCTGGCCTTCAGCCACACCCCACTCATGACACTGTCATCTCAAAAAGAAGGCACTGGCTCTATCTTTCCTACTCACCCAAGGATTGGTCAAGTAGAAAAGAACTGTGCCTTTTTGGTTCTCTTCTCATATCTAGCTGATGCCTGGCATAAAACTAGGTGCCTACATGGGTGCACACATGCATAGCACGCATGCTTTAATGTGTGTATATCAATGCATACTTTACATTAAAGCAAGATCACATAAAAGGAGTGTGTGAAAGTCATGAGGCTCAGGGGCGGGGAGTTTCACAAACACAGCTAGAGTTCCTCTGCCTTGCCCATGATGCTCCCACTTTCCTACGTGTGGAGCCACTGCACTGTTTCCTGCCTCTGTGTTTGCACATACTGTTCCCTCTGCTTCCAGTCCCTTTCTATCTCCCCCATCTAGACAAATCTAACTCAGCTCAGGGTCACTTCCTCCAGGAAGCCCTCCCCACCCCCACCCAGGCAAGGCTGTGCAGGTCCCTCCTATTTTGTCCTCCCTAGCACGTGTGCACACTTATAGCACTAAGCCCATGGAAATGAACTGTTGCCCCTTCCCCCTAGCCAATCTTTCATGAGGATATACAAGACAATTAACATGTTCCCATTAGCTTGTACCACTGGTGGTACATGCATGACTGTCCCATTGGGCGGCTTATATCACCTGCTGGAACTGTAGATGTACATGTACTGCTAGTGGTTCAAGGCTGCATGGTAGTGAGACATACAAATTATGGTCCCGTTATGGACATGTTAATAGAGGACTGTCTCTCCTGACCACCAACACTGGGACTTACTGCACAGAGCATTTCAGCAGTCTCCAGAATCATGGGGCGTGGGAATGATGACAGAGTGTGGTCACCCAGCCCCTCTGCTCTTACCTCATGCGTCTGTGGATTCTCAACGATGCAGCCATAGTTGAGGGATTGTGTTCTGTTTGCCTGAAAGACAGACATCCTGGAGACAGTGACCCGCCTGCACCAGGGCAGCAGGGCTGTTTGCTCATTCTTTCTTCCTATCCCCTGTATCACCTGGCACGCAGGCACGCAGCTTCACCGCTGACAGCCCTTCAGCAAGGGTGAGAGCTGACAGCTGCCCTCCCCCTCCCTACGTCTGAGCAGCCGAAGGACTCAGGGTCACCAGTGACACCTTCGTCACTGCTGGGGCAGTACATCTTCCTCCTGACACACATTCTCACTCCATCTCCCTGGGCTGCCTCTGCCTCCCTAACACCCTCCAGGCCTCCTGGGCTTCCTCACCGTGGTGCCAAGGAGTAAGAAAGGGTGTCGCTGGCGTCTGTGGGCATCCAGCATAGCACTCAAGGGGAAGTCAGAGCAGACATCTGCATTGAGCACGAAGAACGCCTCAGGGCCCCCAGCCAGGATCTGGTCCCGAAAATGGTAGAGACCACCACCTGTGCCCAGGGGGGCAAATTCCTGCAAGTACCTGTCCCCAGGGACCCCAGAACCAGCTCAGTGAAATCTGATCAGACAGTTACTAAGTGCCAAGGAAAATGATATTCCCTGGCTTCCAGGAGTACTGCCCAAGGCCCACAGAGAAACTCCATACAGTGTATCTAGAGATTCAGAGATGCTCAGATAAGGAGTCTAGTGTATGAGGGTGAAATCTGGCAAACACTGACTCAAATCCACTGCGGAGAACTCTGCGGGCCTCCCTCCCCATAGACGTATGCACAAACACCTGACTGGAAGGTTGAATTCCTGCTGTGCGGCTTCTAAGAACTGCATGAGGGCCTCATCAGGTTGGTAGAAGCCAATGAGCAGAATCTCCTGCATCCCAGGGACCTGAAGAGAAAGGAAGAAGTTGGGAGAAAATGTATCTGACAGCAGGGAACGTTGGAGGGATTCCTCTTGCTGGCCCTGAAGTTCAGAGACCAAAGTTTCAGTTTCAGCTGGGGGACTCTGGGCACTCACTTTACCACTCTGGCCTGTTTTCTCCTCTGGACAATGAACAAGTTAGAGGAAGTCTCAGCAGGATCTTTTAATCTTATATTATAACCCCTCCCCCCATCGGGACTTGCTCTACGAAAGACTGCCTGCAACGGTGCATTGAAAGATAATCCATTCATCTTTTCCGCTTTTTTCTTATCTGTCAGTCTAAGCTTGAGATCGGCATGAGGCAAGGGTGCCTGCATTGAACTAGGTACTTTACAGCATTGCCATCCCACAAAGGGATCTAATCGCTACTTCACAGGCAAGGAAACAGAAGCTCAGAGAGGGTGTGAGCTTTGCTTGCTCCAGGTCTCACAACACAACAGGCAGACACTGAAACCAAGACTTTGCTTTTCCAAATATCAAAAGCAATAAAGAAATGAGGTCCATAGTGAGCAAGGGAATGAATTCTTTGCTTTGTTATCATTAAGGGTCCCCATGCTATGGCTTTTTTTGTGTGTGTGGGTGGGGGTTTATGTGTGTTTGTGGTGTGAGGATTGAACCCAGGACCTTCACACTGAGCTACATCCCCAGCCCTTTTTCATTTCTTATTTTGAGACAGGATTTCCCTAAGTCATTAAATTGCCCAGATTGGGCTCAAACTTGGGATCCTCCTACTTCAGCCTATCAGGCAGGCTCTACTGTACCTCTAAATTGTATCAGATGCCTGCCTGATCTCACATGCAACACTTTAAAAATAGGCATGAAATCTGAGATGAGGCCAGATGAGAAACTAGAGAGGAGAAACCAATGAGGCAGATGCACCGCACAAGTTAAGGGCGTACCATTTACACCATCATCTACGAATGACGGTCCTTAGAGTTACACCTAATGAGAAGAGATCATGGCTGGGAGAGGGTGAAATAATGCAAGGAGATGAGCAGGAAGGTGATGGGAAAAGGGGCCCATGGGGTTACCTGGGCACAGGCCTCAATATGGTGCTGGATCATAGGCACCCCAGCTACAGGAAACAACGGTTTGGGGACCTCAAAAGACAAAGGCCTGAAGCGAGTTCCTGGGAGAGGAGAGAGAATATTTCAGCCTCCTGCCTCATTCTGTCCCCATCCCAATAACCACTCTGGCCACACCCCTTGCCCACGTCCCCGGGTCCTCACCCTTTTGAGGGCCTCCAATCAGGATCACAGCTTTGAGCATGATGATGATTGCTACCTAAACCTCAAACCCCAACAGAGAAATCAGGCTCAGATCTCACATCCCTAGCAAACCCCAACCCGCAAATAATGTGTAACCTTCTTCAGGGTGTAAACCCAAAGTTCAATATGGTGCCTCCCTGGATACCACACCTCACAAATACCGTACATCTCACATCCCAGCACAGATTCCTTCAAATCTCACAGGGATTCCTCACAAATTCTGAACTCTGCATCTCACAACTTCATATAACAGCGTTCCCTTTGGCCAGGAACACACTCTGCAAACTCAGAAACTCAGGGGACTCCTTCTATGATCCCAAACATGAGAAAAATTAAAACCTTACACCCAGTGATTTTCAAATGCTAGAGGTACAATCCTGAATCTCAACAGTAAACCGTGAATACGGAACCGCAAACCCTAAGTGGGTGCTAGGTGCTTACACTCAGTCCTAAGTGTGAACCCCAAGTCCTGAACACTGATTTGCATTTGGTGAAATTCCAATCTAGCAAAATCTCTCAATGTGCTGTACATGAATCCTAAAACGAACCCGTATATGCTGAGGCCGGGCTCAAAACACAGGTTCCCTTAGCATCCCACACACCGGACTTACTAACGCGTTATCTCAATACTGCCGACTGCTGCTGAATCTCTGGGTTCGGAGGGGTCACTGCTGACCCTCTGAACCCCACAACTGACAGCCCAATAATCCCTAGCTTCTCGAACGCAGGGCTTACAGGACCAACACAGGCCCAAACCCACGCAGAGAGTCCGCTCTCTGTTCAGAGCCCATGCCCATCCCTTGCCCCTACCCCTGCCCCTCCCGTCTCCCCAACAACGTTCCCTTTACCACTAGCTCCCTTTACGCCGGCTCAGCCGCCTCGCGACTGTCTGCTCCTTCCGCGCACGTGTCTTCTCGCAACTCGCGAGAATGTTACGCACGGCCTGCCGGGAATTGTAGTTCTGAAAATTCCTTTGCCTGTGAAACTTTGTGAGACGGAGGGATAGAGATGGCAAAAGCCGGGGAGCCTTGCCAAAGGATCGAGGGGCCAGTCTAAGTGAGAAGAAGGAACAGAGTCTGAGCCGCAGAGACTGGAATGTAAGATGGGGACCTGAACTGTCCGAGAATGGGCTCAAGGGCAGCGGCCAAAGTGGAGAACTCGGTTACCCGAGAAGTGCGACAGGAGACTACCGGAGTGTGACCTGCCTTGGAAGGGGCGGGGCCAGAGCACGCAGAGCCTGGGGGGCGGGGCCTGAACCCGGCGACAAGAGGGAGGGCGGAATCCCGGCTGCACCGCCAGTCGAGCTCCGCAGGGAACAGATGGGGAGGGTCCACCGGGAAGTCCGACGGTAGGAGAGATCCTATTTCGGGTTGACTGTAAAGTGAAGCAAGAAATAGGCACTCTCGTAACTTTCCTCTGACTCTAGCGTTCTGTGACCTTGGCCTGTGGATCTGGAATAAGTGTGGGGGTGGAGGCCCGGGAGAGAGAAGGCGATGCTGCAGCACAGAACAGACGAGGAGGGTCAGAGAGAGCAGCTTTATTAAGCAAGACTCGGAAGGGTTGTCGGTCCCATCCACCCTTGGCCTTGAGGTCAGGACGAGAAGTCTGTGGGTTCCTTCAGGCCACGTCCCCGCGCGAAGCTCTGGTCCATGTCCACCTACACCTCGTACCTGCCGCTGTCCTCAGGTGTGGCCTGGCAAATGGTCAGCGTCGTGGTGGTGGCGCCGATCGCGCCAATCTCGCGGATCTCGAAGAACACCCTGGGGAGGAGGCGAAGAGGAGCAGGAGGGAGCTGCGGGTCAGTTTACGCACGCACTGGGCCAGGCTAATTTGCCAGCTCTGTTCTTTGCCGTCCTGTCCCCCACCCTCTTTCCTCTCCTGGCCTGCTTCTGGGCACAGGACCGCCCAGGTTCCACCCCAGACCCTGCCCTTGATGCAGGTCCCGGCCCTTGCCTGTCGTCCTCGTAGTCCTTGTTCAGCCCACGTCGGGCGGAGGTGCGCCCAAGATCTCTGCAGTCAGCATTACCGGGGTGCCTTTGTGCGCCTTAGCGTTGTCGGGTCCTTCTGAAACCTTAGCCGTGACTGGAGGAAGGGGAGGTGAACACGACCCAGTGAGGGACCTGGAGGTGAAGTGGGACGTAGGCATCACCTCCCCAGCTAATATCTGACCCTGAACACGAGGCGCACTTAAACTAGCAGTGTGACATCGGGCAAGCTATTAGCTTCTCTGGTTTCATCACCTTAGCTGTTAAACCGAATTTATCTCCGCTCCTTCTTCGCGGTGTCGAATAGAGGATCAGAAGAGACATAGCGAATGGAAGCCCGGAAATGCCCTCATCTCACGCGGTGCTTGGAGACAGCTCTGAGTAGTGGAAATTGCCCAGGTTTGGGAGCTAGAAAATCCGGCTGTAACCCTTGCTCTACTTCTGGCTCGCTCTGTAACCCTTTGGGCCCTGGAGGAGCCGAGCTCACAGCTGACTTCTCTGATCCTGGGGCTGGGCTCCCAAGAACGGTATCCGAAATAGGTAGGCCCATAGATATTGACGCGCCACTGCACCCGGCTGCAGGAGCAGCCGGGTGAATGCTCTTTGGAGCCTTGTCTTTGCGCCTGAAGCGCGTATCTTCTACAAGGACGCGCGCCGAGTTGGAGCGCTGGCCGAAGGGGTTGGTTACATTGAGGCTGTACTGGCCTGGGTCTGCCGGCTCGCCGTCGCGCGCCACCAGCGCCACTACGTCAGGGTCCTCAAAGACGCAGCGATACTTGGGTCTGTCGCGCAGCTCTTTGCCATCCTTGCTTCAGCGGATGAACGCGTCCGGGAAAGCCGAAATGCGGCAAGTCAGCTTGGCCGTGCTGCCCTCGATCAGCACCACGTCCTTCAGCGGCGCCAGCACCCGCAGCGGCCCCTTTTCTCGCAGCTCCTTCTGGGACCTATGCGTGGGCGGGGTCCCGGCCCAGAGCTCCAAGACACGCTCCAGCAGGCCTGCAGCCCAGTCCGCACGTACACCGTCTCCTGCCCACCGGACCCCTAAATGGGGAAATGGGGGTGGGTAGGAAGGGGGGCTGCCCCTGAACTGTTACCCTCATAAAGTGCCAGTCACTCTTCTGCGCCTCAGTAACCTCTCTTCTCTAAGTCCCATGACCCTAGTTGTTTATGTCACTGTGCTTAGTGTCCCCACCCCCATCCCCAAAGCAGGAATTCGCTTTCCGTAGCTCCCGGGGGTGGGGGTGGGGATTCCCCTCACCTGTGCCCCCGCTAAGAGCCCTGGATACAAATGGCTGTGCTCTGAACCTGGGGGTCGTTGATACCCAGGTTACATTCTGGAGATGGGGCTGCAGGATTTGTGCCAGGAGCTGCTTTGGACATCTGGGGAGTGGAGAGCAAATATGGGTCCAGGCAGAGACAGAGGCTTCTGACCTTCAGCCCTTTCCCTGCCTGATCAGGGGTGGGAATGTCTGAGGCTTCCCTGAGGAAGGAACTCACCCTGCAGGGATTGACTTAAGGACTTCAGCCAGCTGGTTGGGTCACAGGCACCACAGAGCCCTTCTGGATGGCAGAGTAGGGGCACAGGCAGAGAATCTGGCACAGACCTTGGTTTTATACAATGCTAGTGTCCTTGCCTTGTTTGGTGTAGTTGCCATCAAGTCCCCTGGGACCCCACTGCCCACTCCCTGACCCAAGTGGGCTCCTTGTATAGCCAGAGGATGCCTGGGATGAGGCTCAGCCACTGGGGCAAGCTCAAGGGGGTGGGAAACCCGAGCAGCTCTGGGGTACACTGTGTTAGCAGCCCCATGTTGGATGCAGCCCCATGCCTTCCCAAGGCAGGGAGCATTCTTTCTACTTCAGGAGGACCAGACGTAGCCCCCAGCCAGCAAGAGACTCAGCTCAGTGCTGCAGCAGCTTTGCACCCAGGTCAGCCTCCATACAGGCAGGCAGACATGCCTTCCTTACACAGTGTAGGTTAAGAGGGTACAAGTGTCCCTGAAAGAAGCCGGGGTAGCCTTGGACTTCATGATCCATACAGCCAATCATGGCAGGGTCAGTGGCTGTCACCAATCCAGAATCTTTACTCTTCCCTTACCATACTTACCCCAGGAGTCTATGGGTGTCATTTCTGCACTGTGCCCCCTGGTAGTAAACTGAGGTAAACCAAGAGGGGCTGGGAGAGATTTCTGAGAACAGCAGCCCTTCCAATGCCAACACCTTCCACACTGCCTCCCTTTGGTGTTACAAAGTAGAGTCTGGCTGATCTTAACGGTCCCTGAGATTAGCGCTACTCCTGATTCCTCAACCCTTGGTCTGCTGAGCCCTTGGGGGACATAAGCAAGGGCATAGGGACATCTGACCACCTGGGGTGTAGGGCTGCCCAGGACACCAGTAGGAGTGTTGCTTCCATTCATTGTGGCTACCCGCCCAGGTGTGGAGCACTGTCACCTTTTGATCAGAGCAATTTTGACACAGCTCTGCTGACATAAATTACCTTTGCTTCTCTGGGTTTGGAATAAGCAGTTCACATGCCATTTCCAATGGAGATGGGAAGGCAGCTCCAGATAGGAGGGAGAACAGGAGAGAGGAATTTTACCATTTATCAAGATATGAGTTCCGGCACCTCATTTTTGTATGAAAACATTTGCGGTGTGTAGGGGATTAGAGATTCTTGCAGGCAAACTGTATATCTTCATCCCTAAAATGACAGGTGGGCAAGGTGTCTCGCTCCTCCCTTCCAGCTGGCTTTAACATCCTGTGATTTTATGATGATGGGGCTTGTCTCTTCCCTGAGGTCCTGGGAAGCCAGAGAGGCTGGGTAGGGCGGGGCAGAGGGCTGTTGGAGCTGAAGCCACGGGGCCTCAAACTCAGTTGGCAACACACCAGTGCCAACTCTCTCTGCTTGTGGTTGGAGGCTTTCTTCCTGTTTGCCAAGAACAGTTTGCTAGGTAGTTGGGGAACCATCCTTTGCATACAAGAAATCTGACCTCCTCTTTTCCTCTCACATCAGGGCAGGGCAGTTCAGTTCTAGGACCCAGTGTCCATTCTATGCCTGGAGCCAGGTGCCTGAGCACCCAGCTGACCTTTTAATGTGCCCAAGGGACAGGAAGGCCCAGGCTGATGTGTCCCTCAGTCCCAGGAAAATGCTGGCCATAGCCAACCAGAGCACCCACAGCTGTGGGTTCTGATCTATGCAGTGCCCCCAAGAGCCTCGGATCAGAGCATCTCTTGGTTTCTTCTGCAGCTCTTCACTCTGCCCCCTCTTGCCAACTATCAAGACAAAACTCATCTTCCTTGAAGTGGTGAGGGGCAGGACCAGAGTGAGAGAAGCTGAGCCAGGTCAGGGGTGTGGTTTGGTCCAAGCCAGAGCCCAGCATCCCCTGAGACATGAAGAAGTGTGTGAGCAGAGGTGAGGCTCTGACCAGAGGGTAGTAGCAGGGACTCCGTGGGTCTGCCAGCATTCCAGAAACTGGGGCAAGAAGCAAACTGCAGCCCCTCCTCTGAGAATAAGGAGGGGTGAGGGCTCCCAGAACCAAGGGAGGGGTGGGAAAATCCCAACATGCTAGCCAGGACATCCTCAAATATGTCTTCACTGGTCTAGAGAATGTCACTGAACATCCCAGTCCCATCGCAGGAATCACTCCCTGCCCCCTAGCCCTCCCCAAAGACCACACATAGGTTCTGCTGCTTGCCGGTTTTATTTTCCTTGTGACAGACAGACAGAGCTGCACAGACAGCTGGATGGCTGGGGGGTGGGGAGTGGTCAGGACAACATGGGCAATAGGAATTGGATGGAAGGGAAAACTTCATAAAAGGCAATAAATAAATAAATATGAATAGGAAGAAGGGCAAAGGCCATGGAAGGGTGGTGGGGACATCCCTGGGCCACCATGGAGTGCCCAGAGCTGCATCCGCTGGCACAGGAGGAGAGGTTCAACTTGAGTATAACTTCTCTTTCTCCTGGGGATACTGCTGGCCGGCTGCTGGCTCACCCCACCCCGCTGCGACTGCTCTCCTCGCCCCACCTCACTGCCCTTGCTCACAATCCTGGCTCCCTCCCTGACACTGTCTGTGTCCTGTCCCTGACTCACTGATACATTCCCAGCCCCGTGCCCTGACTCCTTGTGCTCCTTCCTCTTCCTCCTCTCTAGTCACTCACCCTCCTGGTTCTCCCTGAGATGCACTGTGCCCTCACCCCCAGAATCTCCCTAAAGTCTCCCCTCCTATCCCTTGGCGACTTTTCCTTCCTCTTCACTTCCCCCATTCCCTTGCTATCCTTCTTCCTGTTTCCACTGCTGCCCAGCCTAGCCAAGGGTCTTCTGCTCCGGCCAGGGGTGGCATCAGGCCAAAGTCCCTGGGCCTCTGTCCCCTCAGGTCCATGAGGTAATAGCCTGGCCAGATGTTGCTGCTGGTGGTAGCCAAAGCCCCAGGCCCAGCTGGCTCAGCGTGGGCCCTGGAATGTCCCGCGGCACCAGTGGGAACCCCAAGTCTCAGCTTGCAGCAGCTGGGTATGGTCCACGCCGCTAGGGGCTGCCAGGGTAAGAGCGGAGCAGCACCTTGTGGCGGGTGGCAGCCTCAGCCCGGCGCCGCCGCTGCTCGCCCAGGAACTCCTTGAGGCGGTTGGTTGTGAAGGTGAGCGTCTGGCGGCGCAGCTTCATCAGGTAGGCATCCTGCAGCCATGGGTGAGCGAGGCAGTCCTGCAGGGAGGGCCGGCTCCTACCAGGCCAGGCCAGGGACAGTGAGCCAGGACAGATGACTCCTGGAGCCTGCAGGCTCTGTCCTCCCCAGGACCCACCAATGGATCCTGTACCCGCCATGGTGTATGTCACATTGGGCAACTGTGAGGACTACAGGTGTGCACCACCATGCCCGCTGTGTTATGGGCTTTAAATGGTAGGCAGTACCACCATCCAGTAGAAGTAGCAGAGGAGGTTTGTAGGTCTTTGGCCAGGTGGGGCCAGGTCAGTCTACACCCATGGGCAGGTAATACTGGGGGTTGGCAGGTGGCACCCCACTCACCAGGGATGTACTGAGAGGATCTTCCGCAAGAAGAGGGTGGCGCTCTGGGATGTATTGGGGTACAGCTGGAAGGCATCAAACCGGCCCCCTACAATCCGAGCCTCTGTTTCCTGGGGATCTGGCTCATAGAATGGAGAGTGTCCGCTGAGCCTGTTGTGGAAGACAGTTCAGTTGACAAAGTCCCAGCTGTGCTGCTCAGGAGTTCTCTGTCTTAGTATGGACTAAGGGTCAACCCCCAGGCCTATGGGACTCCAGTGCTCAGGGCAAGTGCCACCTGCACACACCTGGCATGTGCTGAGGAGGCAGGGCACAAGAGAGTGTGCAGCAGGAGGTGGGGAGAGGGGCTGGAGCAGGCCCAGGAGTACTTACATGATGTAGGTGAGCACACCTGCTCCCCAGATGTCCGTAGCAGAGCCGATAGGTTCTCCCTTCACCATCTCAGGAGCTGACAAGAGACGGAGGCCAAGCTGACCCAGTGACAGGAGGAGCAGGGGGAGTGGGAGGGCTTGAAGAATAGGGGCGATGCCCAGGTCACCAGACTATGGGCACAACCAGAGCAGCAGGCCTGGGAGGCTGTTGGGCAGGCCAGAAGCAGGGGTGGCTCCCAGGAGGGATGTAGGCTGCCTTAGGAATAAGCCCAAGAACTGAATGATAGCATCCCTAGAACTCCAGAGGAGCTGCGAAGCAGGGTCACCAGCTCCCTTGGATCAGCTCCAAGGTAGGACTCTCATTCACAAAGAGTGTGGCCAAGCCCAAGATTAAGAGCCTTTGTAACCAGCCTGGCTGGCAACAATCCCAGGCCTGCCCCTCTGCCCATGGGTCCCTGGGCAATGTACTAAACCTGCCTGGCTCCCCACTGTCTCACCTGGAAAGTGTGGTTTATAGAATAACTCCAAGGAACAGAGATGATAAACATCAAATATGTAGCAGGTAGCTGAATGACAGCTGGTTTTCCTTATGGATATAAAACAATAATTGATTCTCCTGTCTTTTCAGCTTTTGCACATCCCGCCTCTACCATTTGTAACTGTCTAAATAGACAAATACTGAACTTAGTGGGCCTGTTCCCAA